ACCTAAAATCGGACTAAAATATATATGGAAGCTATATCTAAATCTGAACCGATTTTTCAATAGGGTTCGTCCTTGGGCCAAATAAGTGAACTGTGCCAAATTTCATCCAATTCGGATCACAAATGCTACCTGTACTTTGTTAACAAAAATACATGGACGGACGGACGGACATGCATAAATCGACTGAAAAAGTGATTCTATGCATATTCTCAAAACCATATGTCTATCTCGTTTCCTTTTGTCTGTTACAAACATATGCACAAAGACATTATACCCTGTACCACAGTATGGTGAAGGGTATAAAAATAAGCATGATCTTCACCGACTGGCTTTATCCTACACCTTTTTCACATGGTATTCAAAACATATCAAATGTAATTCGAGAATTCGCAACATACAATTTGCAATTCGAGAATTCCATTTGCAATTCATAACATATCAGTTGTAATTCGAGGATTTCATTCAAAATTCATAGAATTCCATTTGAAATTCATAAACTTCCATTTGAAATTCATAAAATTTCATTTGAAATTAATAAAATTTCATTTGAAATTCTTAACATTTGATTTGAAATTCATAACATTTCATTTGTTTTTTTTTTATAACATTTTACTTTAAATTTGAAAAATATTATTGGTAACACACAAGGAATATCTATGAATTCGAAATTAATTGTTATGAATTTCAACTGAAATATTTTGAATTACAAGCGAAATGTTATAAATTTCAAGTTGAATTCTTTGAATTATAAATGGATTTCTTCGAATTTCAAAAGAAAATCTACAAATTTCAAATTGGAATATAGCAATCACCGATGATTTTTTTTTAAATTTCAAATGGAATTTTTTGAATTTTATATGAAATGTTTAAAATTACAAATGAAAAGTTGTGAATTACCAATTACATATTCGAATTACAATTGAAATGTTATGAATTGCAAATTGAGTTTTCGAATTACAAATGAAATTCTCGAATTGCAATTGAAATGTTTTGAATAACATTTGAAAAAGGTGTAGTCCCACAATTTAAAAACGATTGGGTTATTAGTTTTTGAGTTACCGTGCCCGCCATTCGCAAAAACGCTGTTTGGAGAAAAACGCGTTTAAAGTTTGAGAAGCCCTCTTGCTGTCACTTGATGCTAACACAATAAATCGGCTATATCTTCAAAAATTGAACCGAATTTTCTCTTTGTTCATTTCCATTTTTAACACCCTGTAACTCACAACTGAATGCCCCATACAAAAAAACAGCAAAATATTTTGCGAAATGTCACCCTTCCAACGAGCATAAATCTGAAATCGTTTGATCGATGCTTTACGAGAAATCTATCAGTACAGCAATCTGCCGAAAAAATGGATATATTGTACGATTTTGGTAACTAACAGCCCGTTTTTGTAAAATTCGAATCGAATGAATTCGAAGGAATTACTACCAAATAACAAAGTGTTTATATAAAGCAGTGAACAGAGCAGTATACCATATGATACCCTACACAACTGCCAACTATTTCGGCCGAATAAAGGGCGACAGTTCTACTTTCTAAGCCTGGCATATTTTCCAAATCTTGTTTTCTCCAGATGATTTATTTGACACTCGGAATATTGACCGATCATTATCAAAACAGCCGTTCTAAGTATTTGGTCAGATGATATTCTGCTTAAAGTTTTCGGTTTTGCATACCCTAAATATCATCTCAACAACACCGAACATTATAGGCGTAATGGGGTAATAGTAGTACTAAACAATATCATAACATCCGAGTACAAACAACAATATAATTGGTATAAATTTAAAGGTCAAGTGTCTATGACATTTAGGAGTAGTCCTTTTTACAAAAAAGTTTGGGTCCATATGGCCCGCTAAGTATCGACCGATCTTTATCAAAACATAAAAATTCCAATGAACAGACGGACGGACGGATTCGTTTCGAATCCGCCAGAAACAGACTGTTAAAGTTTTTCAGCCAAAATTGTCTTTACATTTACTTATAAGAGGCACTTTTATTAGTATAAACATACTCGGTATGGTTTGACGTATAACTATGCGTTGTGTTTTGTACCGTGACTTGAATAACACATTTGGATCCCACATGATTTGTCAGAAGTACCATACAGAAGGCATTTCAACGTACGCTAATCCAACACACTACAAGGAGATGTTTCAATCGGTATGGAAAATTTCTTTATAGTCCATGCATTTCAAATTGGATTTATAAAAGCACTTCCACTTAAAATTGGATTTATATCAGGGTTCGCAAAAACTCGTTCGCGAATGATTCAAAATACATTCTTTTCGTTTTGTGCTCATTTTACGAATGAATTTATGACGATAAATTCTTTACCAAACGAGCATTCGCCAAAGAATGTTCGCACAAACACACATAACAAACGAGTGAGAGCACACAACAACGTTCGTTCGTTTCGTTTGATGGTTGGAATTCTTGCTGACATTATCTTACGAATGAAAACAAACATTCCCGAATTCTCGCGAATGCTCAAAACGGCAACAACAATAACAACAAACGTTCGAGAACTCAATAGTTGTTGGACATGTCTTTTGTTATTCCACACACATTCTTTCGTTGTTTGTGTGTTTACTTTCTTATGATATTTTTGTTTGTTGTTGTTTTTAACAGTGCTCGCGAGCATTCGCGAACATTTGTTTTTTGAGTTTTTCAAAAGAATGTTCTTCATCAACAAATGCTCGTGAAAGAATGAATCGACGACGCTTGCAACGAAATTTTATCGTTCGTGAATTTTTCATAAAATGCGAACATTCGCCAGAGATTGCAAATGCTTGTTCATTCATTGTAACTTTATCATTCGCTATAAATTGAAAACATTGGAATTCTCGCCCGTGAGCATTCGTGAGAAAGAGCGTATTTTAATCATTCTTCGCACCCTGATTTATATAGACCAATAGTTATGTATTCTGTCTGTGTTTGTAAAAATCAAAGAGGCCGATTGAAAGTGTATAGAAACAACAGGTTAGCAGAGAGATCTGTAAATCTGTAAAAAGACCAATTAGTCTGAATAGAGAAAACAGGAGTTTATATATTTTAACAACATAGGCTTCTATAAGGACCAATTGGTATAGGTATCCAATCAAATCCATTCTAAGCAGTGGATATAGTGATTGACTTTTTACACATGGAAGAGGTTATTAAAATATGGCATCTTTGTGCCATGCTACCGCCGGTTTTAATTGTTTAATTTGGTTTCACCAAGTAACGGATCAAATAGTCAACAACATAAATTTATTTGCGACCAAAGTGTTTATTTGAAACCAGTAAGGAAAGTAGTATAGTCGGACGGGGCCGACTATATGATACCCTTCACCACTATGGGTATATTAAACAGAACTATTAAAAATTGGATGAAATAAAATATGTGATATTTATCTAAATATAAAGTATGTAAAGTATGTAAATCGACTTCAAACAAATATAAATAGGTCATCCGTTGGGCCATGTCTGTACTTCTAGAAAACGCAACTACGTAATTCTATGCTCAATTTTGTAAGTTGTGAAAACTTTGATGTAAATCTGACTAACATGAGGAGTTTGATGCCCAATTTACTTGAAATCGGGGGAAAATATATATGGAAGCTCTATCCAAATATTAAGCGATTTCAAACAAACTTGTCACAGGTTAGGTTATACTAATTTCAGAACGTTTTGTTCCTATCAGCCTATTGGATCCTTGGTGCGTCAATTTATTATAATCAATCTATAATAAAAGGAAGCTATATCTAAATATGGACCGATTTTCAGTACGTTATTCCAAATTTCGTGCAAATCGAAAGATATATAGGGACTTTGGTGCACCATTTACATGAAATCGGACGAAACTATACATGGGAGCTATATCTAAATCTGGACCGATTTTCTCAAAACTTGGCAGACATCATTCTAGGCTCAATTCAATATGTTATGCCAAATTTCGTGCAAATCGAAAGATATATAGGGACTTTGGTGCACCATTTACATGAAATTGGACGAAACTAAATATGGGAGCTATATCTAAATCTTGACCGATTTTCACGAAACTTGGCAGACATCATTCTAGACTCAATTCAGTACGTTATGCCCAATTTCGTGCAAATCGAAAGATATATAGCGACTTTGGTGCATCATTTACATGAAATCGGACGAAACTATATATTGGAGCTATATCTAAATCTGGACCGATTTTCTCAAAACTTGGCAGACATCATTCTAGGCTCAATTCAGTACGTTATGCCCAATTTCGTGCAAATCGAAAGATATATAGGGACTTTGGTGCACCATTTACATGAAATCGGATGAAACTATATATGGGAGCTATATCTAAATCTGGACCGATTTTCACGAAACTTGGCACACATCATTCTAGACCTAAATAATTAGGCTGTACCAAATTTCGTGCAAATCGAAAGTTATATAGGGACCGTTTACTTTAAATCGGTTAAATATATATGGGAGCTATATCTAAATCTGAACCGATTTTTCCCAATTTCAATAGGGTTCGTCCTTGAGCCAAATAAGTGACCTGTGCCAAATTTAATTCAAATCGGATCATAAATGCAACCTGTACTTTGTTTACAATTTAACATCTACAGACGGACGGACGGACATGCATAAATCGACTCAGAAAGTGATTCTATGCATATTCTCAAAAGGAACCATGTGTCTATCTCGTTTTCTTTTGCCTGTTACAAACATATGCACAAAGACATAATACCCTGTACCACAGAGTGGTGAAAAGGAAAATAAAAAGGAAATGACTTAATTTGATTTAGTACAACACGTGCATTTTTTATCACCTGGAAATCTGATAACTTTTCTCCAAGTCATTGTGATATTCACAAACACCCATATCCCCAAAGGCACAACAATTAACAAACACAAATTAATTGCTTATCTCTGATTTTATTTGAAATTCAAGAAAATAACGTTATTTCTAAATCATATCTTATATTTCACCTAATTTTTGTTGTTTTCTTTGCACATTTCGTTACAGATCATTTGGAAAGTGAAATTATAGCGCCAAATTTAATTACCGATTTGCCTGAAAAGTTGCTTTTATCTGGCATCTATTTACCAGGTAAGTTGAATTTATTCTTCCTCGTCTTCTTGTTTTGGTGTTTCTATTTTTTTGGACTCAGTTGTTGATATCGAAAGATAGTGAAACAACAACAAACCAACGACAGACAGACCAACCGCCAGAAAATTGCCATCAATATAACAGCTTCTAAGCAGCGGTGGTGAGCATTAAATATTTCTATGCTGTTGGTTGTTCCTTCCTTTGACTAAAAAAATTGGTGGCCCACAAAACGAGTGCTACCCCACAAGAAGCGGTAGCGGCGGCATTAGTAATTAAACGAAAAACCACGACAACACACTTTCTTTAAATTCTTAGACGTTACACAAACACACAAAAATAACACCCAGTCGGACGGCCGACCGGCCAGCCAGCCACACCTTTTGCCATTTATTGCGGCTGCAGTTTATCTCTTTTTTATGACCAACACCTTTCAATCTGCAATGGCCTCCTCTTCTTCTTTTTCCGAACGACAAAAAAGATGCCATAGTTCTAGTTACTTTCACTGCTAAACAAATTGCTAATCTGCTGGGTAACTAGTAACCCTGATGTGGTCGTGGTAACAACAACTCAGTGGGTTGGGGACAAAAACAATTTGCTCAAATTGTTAAAAGACGTTGTCGTTTTTTAACTTTTTTGGAATTTAAAAGATTTTCTGAAATTGATTTGCAATTTCTCACTAACCAGACTCAATTTACACGCACCGCACCATCGAAGATGTTTGGCTAATGGTTCTGTTTTTCGTTTAATAGCCAGTCATTTTCATTCTAATGACTGACTGACTAATGGAGAACACTGATGCCAGAGTGATAAATTTAAAAAAAATGGAATTTTGAAAATGTATATTTAAACATATATAGATCATTTTCATTGAAATAATAATCATGGGTACCCCTCAACCACAAGGGTGAACTTTTTAAATAAATAGCTCCACTTAGCGAAGTTTTTTAAAAATGCGGCTATAGCTTTGATAATTGTGGGTTTAAAGACCTACATAAACATTAATTTAATAAGAAAACATTTTTAATATGCCTTGATTTTTATAAACCCCGTTTAAAAGCATTTTTAGTCGTATATTAAAAAAAAATAAACTTGAATTTAAAAAAAATAGTCAAAGGTTTCAACTTTTCCAAAGACGTGTTTTTAAACAAAATTTATCGAATTCTTTATGGCATCAAACATGAGATTGACATTCAAAAAAGCCTGAATCGGAACATGAATATGGAGTCTTTACCAAATACCAAACTGCAGACCCTGGCTGTAAAATTGACCCGGGAACTTGAAAATACCGAAAATGATGGTTGGCGGATATAAACATATTAGGTTGGGGAAAAAGAAATCCATTTGGCCGGTGGTCGAAAATTTCTAAAAAATCGGAGAAATTATCAAAGTTGACCGGCATATTATCAGTCGTAATAAAACTGTTTTAAAACATTTACACAAAGCTGGATTCAAAAAGAAGCTCGATGTTTGGGTGTCACACCAATGAACAGAAAAAATAGGATGGATCGAATTTCAATCTGCGAATTTCTTAAACGTATGGTGACTGAAGATGAGAAATGGATCACATACGACAACCATGTGCGTTGTCAAAACGGTGGCCAAACTAGGACTAACGGCCAAGAAGGTTCTGCTATGCATTTGTGGTAATGGAAAGGGATTATTTATTATACATATGGCCAAACGCTAAATTCTGATCTCTACTGTCAACAACTTGACCGTTTGAAGATAGCAATTGGCCAGAATTTGCCAACCGGAGAGGTGTCGTGTTCCACCAGGACAACGCTAGGCCACACACATCTACAATGACTCGCCAGAAACTTCGGTGACTTGGTTGAGAAGCTTTAATGCATCCGACATACAGTCCGGACTTGGCACCAAGCAATTATCATATTTTTTCTTGCATTGCAAAATTTCGTTAATGATAAAAAATTGGTATTAAGGGAGGATTGTGAAAATCGCCTACTAGAGTTTTTTATCAAATACAGAGCAGGACTTCTGTGGGTGAGGCGTTATGAAGTTACCTTTAAAATGGCAACAAAACATACAACAAAACGATGCCCAAATCGGACATTCCGAAGTATGTTAATTAAAGTCCTATAGTTCATATAAAAATAATGGATTTCTTATCCTCCAGCCTAATATATAAACAAATCTTCAAAATGCTTTACCTTATAGTGGACCGATATTAAATTTTTTTGGTAGAAAAAAGAAATTAACCCAATAAGAACCCAAAATAGAAAGAAAAATGTACCCAACATTTTTCAAATACCGGATAATGGACCAGATCGTTACATTGGGTCTTGGGTCAACTTGGATATTTTTGGTGGGGATATTTTTTACCTAATGAGAAACTAAAATATGAAATAACAGCCAATTCGGTTAAAAAATCGATTCTAAATACACAAAATCGCGAGAACATTCGGTACCACAGTATTAGGGATATAACTAAAAGGAAACAAATATTGATATTTTTGGAAGATTTTTCACCCAATAAGAGACCCAAATAACAAATTTCAGCTAATTCGGTTAAAAACGCATCAGAAATACTGAAAAATAAAAGACAACTCTATGCAAAATTCAGCAACCTATCCCAAAGTACAGTCAATTCGAACCTGTCCAAAATATAAAAAATAGGGACGATATTTAAAGATGTACCAAAATATATAATTTCAAACTAGTGAGCGGAGCAGTATAGTCAAACGGGGCCGACCATATGATACCCTACACAACTTCCACGAAAATCTAACTTTCTGTGATACTACATTCTGAGATTAGGCAATATTTCGCGATATTTGCACCCTCTTGATCGACTAGAGGCCAACAAATATTAGTAATATTCAATATATCTCTTCTAATTACTTGCCCCGATTCCTTTCACCAGGTGTTGTGTTGTGATGTTCGGCCTTCAATTGTGGCCTATAGATCAACTCGAAAAAACACAAAAAATTAAGTTTTCGGTCCACTTCATTCCAATATTATTAATTGGTCATCACCGAAAATTATAGGCGTTGTCCTTGACCATACCTGAATTCTCATGGAAAATTTCAAAACTATCAGCGTTATATTTTCGCCCTCTAGTGTGTTACTAAATAATATTTGAATATCTAAGCACCTGTCAATTTTTAAGTGTAACTCCCACATCCGAGTACACACGATAACATAATTTGTATCAATTTAAAGGACAAGCACTACTCTTGGATATGCTATCAACTTTTCGGGACTTTGTTCTTCAGGGGTAAATATATACGCTATAGAATACACATTTTGTCATTTTCACACAAAAGTCAGGGTAAAATTGACCCGCAAAATATTGACCGATCTTTATCAAAACAGGCATGCTTATTCTTTGGCCCGATCCACTTCTCCATGCAAAAATTCGCGGTGTTTGGGTCATAATTGCGGGCTCTGGAGCGACCAGAAAATTAGACAAAAATAAAGTTTTTGGTCAATTTCATCCCTTAATATTAACTGATCTTTCCTAAAAACAATAGGGGTCTTCATTGGCCAGAACCCATTCTACATGCAAAATTTCGTGAAGATTGGTCCATAACTGTGGCCTGTATCGTGTTTACAAATTATAATAGACATACGGACGGACACACATGTCTAGATCGACTCAGCTAGCCGAGATATAACGAACGGTATACTTAAAGGTAGGTCTAGGACCAATATTTCGCTGCGTTACAAACTTTTGAGGCTGCACAAAGCTGTAGTACCCTGCCAACATAGTTGTGTAGGGTATAATTACAGTAAATTCGAATTACAGTAAATTCGGATAAAAAAGCGTCCAATATACTCATAACCGCAAAGGTGAAGTTATATGAAGGCTATACCTAAATGTGGACCGATATAGTCAATTTTTAGAACTTTACCAGAATATAGACAAGGGACAACTCTACGCTGAGTTCAGCACCCTATCTCAGTTCCTTCGAAAGCTAACGTGATTACAACAGAATGACGCATGACCATGCGTAGATCGTCATAGAATTTTACCCCGATCAATAAAATATATTCCATAGGCCTGTATTTTTCTTTTTTTCAGGCAAATATCCTCTTAGTAAAAAGAAAATTAATTATGAAATAACCCGCTTAAAATTTCTCAGAGGGTAAATGGTCTTATATTAGAAACATTTCAATATATAGGTATTTTCAGGATCCTAGTTCCATAATACAGGGAGACGTAGTAAAATATTTATTCTCAATAAAAATATTCGAAGATATAATAATCCTTTCCTAGACTTTCTAATTTTCAAAGGTCAAAAGACCTATTTCCAAACTATTTATATATATATTCGGATTTATATGGGTCCTTCCTCCGGCCGCACTTTCCAATCGAATTGGCGACCATTTTAGAATTTCTGGTTGTCAGAGAAAAATTTATAATATTTTTATTTTGATATCTCCGAAATGTACACTGGACAATTGAGTTACCCTTTCTTTATTATACCCTTCAACACACTATGGTACAGGGTATTATGTCTTTGTGCATATGTTTGCAACAGACAAAATGAAACGAGATAGACATATGATTTCTCTTGAGAATATGCATAGAATCAGTTTTTAAGTCCATTTATGCATGTCCGTCCGTCTGTCCATGTCAAATAGTAAACACAGTACAGGTCGCATTTACAATCCGAATTGGATGAAATTTGACATAGGTCACTTATTTGGCCCAAGGACGAACCCTATTGAAATTGGGAAAAATCGCTTCAGATTTAGATATAGCTCCCATATTTATTTTCGTCCGATTTAATGTAAATGGTGCACCAAAGTTCCTAAATATCTTTCGATTTGCACGAAATTTGGCACAGCGTACTGAATTAAGTCTAGAATGATGTGTGTTAAGTTTCCTGAAAATCGGTCCAGTTCCATAATGGTCCTTCAAAAATTCGACGATGAATCCTAACACATCTGTTGAATATACCCAAAGTGGTGAAGGGTATCATAAAGTCGGCACCGTCCGACTTTACTATTTTCCTTACTGTTTTTTTTTTAATTTAACACAAAAAATCTTCTTGCTGTACCAATAGGTAGTTTTCTGCATAAGCTTTCCATAGATGCAGCTTTTAGACTAGCAGAATTGTTCCGCAAGACACAGCCCCAATAGTCTCTTCAAGGAATGATCAGCCAAAAAACCTCGGAATCGAGTTGGAATCATTTCCGCTTTTCGTAAGATTTCCATTGATATCCATCCTTGACTGTCAGAACTGTACAGGGAGGCATATACTTCAATTAAATTACCCTTTTTAATGATAACCCCAAAAATGTTTAAATACTTTGAACTCGTGATGGATATTTTGTTATTAATCTTATGTCAACTTTCATAAGCATTCCATTGATACTTACAAATTGCATTGTCGTTTTCAAGAACGATGCGAGCGGGATGGATTTGCAAGGATTGCAATACGGGAATCTACAATAAAATTCTTCTGACGTTTTCATCCTCTTCGGTTGGAAAAAAGAGATTTAAAACTTCAACCGTTACATGTCATGTCACATGCCACAATATAGATCTGTATTGACAGCTAAATTTTTACCCACCAAGAAACTGAAACGCAAAATTACATCTACTTCTGTTGACAATGTGCCGAAAGCCCTTTAAAATACCGAAAATGATGCGGAATCTTTATTGAAGGACTATACAAAACCATAGCCTTGGTAAATAGGAGGCTTTAATCAAAACTCTTGATATCCACCCCCATATTAAATCAAATTAATGAAAGCTATATTGATCTATAGAAATATCATGCCCATATGTTTTATATCCTAATTTTTGTATAAAATCTCAATGAATCACTCCTTTCTAGTGCTGAGTAGAACATGTAAGACCCTTGTCATATTCCCTTGAAATCTAACAATTTTATTATTTGATTTGCTGCAGTACTTTCGAAATTTACATTACTACCACTGTCTCCATTATGGGTCCATTAAGAAGCTGAGAAAAAATCTGGACTGTCCATCACTTCCATCAGATGCATCTCGCGCACATCACATAGCAGTTTGTAAATTCTAATAACTTGTCAATAAAAACGAATACCAACCACCAACGTAACTTGATCCCCGATTGATGGCTGGCTAGCTGCCTGCCTGATTGGCTTGACTTAACTTGGCTAACTTGCTGTCTGGTTAATTGGTCAAGTGATGATTGCATTATATTGACATTTGATCGTTGCAATTTTTTTTCTCCTTCACCAAAAACACACCTCATGAAATTTTGTTATTGCATTTTCTGCAAGTTTCACATTTTCTTTGGTGCAATGAAATATGCAAATGAAATTTTAATTGGAAAATCTTTCGCACTCATTTCATATTTCATTGGCACAACAGAAATTTCTCTTTGCAGGCAGGTAACTAGGGAAATGCGTTGTTGTACAGCTTCTAATGGTAGAATAATGGTCTGGCATATTTTTATTAAAGAGCTTAACAAATTATCAGGTCTTGTCTTGGACCACAACCACCACCATGAATATGTATATTTATGTTTTGTATATTGTTATGAATTAATTTATATTTAATTTGTTTCTTGCTTTCATTTTCTTTTACTATTTTTTAAGGAACTCGAGACTTGAAAGGAAATCCGTTGATCACCATTGATGCTGAAAGTGTGTTAACAGCTGGCCTGAATTGTTATGAAATTGCCACATTGCTTTTGTACTACAGTACAATACCGGAAAGGTAAGTTGTTTGTAAAATTATTTAAATTATATATATATATATATATATATATCATTCACCATTTCAAATTTCGAAAAGTTTCAATCCGCTGGCATATGGGCATCCATAATTTTAAAGGCTTATAACTTCGCATACATGTATTTGAAAGACTTAAAGGACAACCCCCCTCCCCCCTCTTTCCGGTTTTTACTTAATTCAAACCTACACTAATTCAAGAATGTCCCTACAAAATTCCAAGTGAAAATCTCAAGAAGACATAGCCCATTTATTGTGTGGGCATCAAGTGACGGCAAGAGTGATTCTCAAACTTTCTCGAAACAGTGTTTTTACGAATGCCGGGCACGATAACTCAAAACCTAATAATCCAATAGGTTCCAAAATTTTACACATTTCTCTGGGAGTGCATATCCATCGTATGAACTGGTATAAAGCCAATTTTTGAGCGAAGTCAATAAGCCTAGTTCATACGAGAGCCAGACATGTATTCTTTCTAACACCCATGGAATTTCCGGATTCCGATGTTCCAGTGAGGAGTTATCATGCCCGTCATCAAAAATAAGGACTTCTCTTTAATCAACAAAAACAACAACAACCAAATTTTGAAAATTATTTTTCTTCTCTTTTAAATATTCAATTATATAAGTTACAAACCTTAACATGCATTGGTATTCATTTACCAGACCATTGACAATCTCGAAAATATAAAATCGAGAATGGGGGTTCTATTAACCCTACGGTCAATAACCGGGTACATTTGTACCTTTTTTTGAATAAAAATGCTCTAAAATTTTTAATAATGGAGATATTTAGATCAAATTTTGAGGAATCATTCTTGAGGTATTTTCACACATAATCGAAGAAAAAATTTATAAATATTTTCCATATATATAATTTTTACAATTTTTTAAAGTTATTACCTACGTAGATCAATAACCGTGGTACATTTGTACCCACCCAAAGATAGCTCTGTAACTCATTAAAAAATTGGACTATCGTGAGGTTTTTTGTTTTAAATTTTATGCGGATCAAACAGATATAGGAACTCAAAATTATATATCAAAAATAATATATATTTAAGTCCATGCTCAAATGATAATCTATCTAAAACAATCATAGTAAATTCGTTATAGCTTTCGAATGAGTTAAGCTTTTTTAGTTATTTTTTTATTGGGATCTTATTTAGGTGTTCCTCAACCCCTCTGCAAATTTTTGTGGCTCTAGACAACGTGAGGCCATCAGGGCGACTCGTGGAAGTCAGAAACTACCCTGGTTTTCCTTTGGTATACAGGGACAAAAACAATGATTATTGTTCGTAATTATCCAATTATTCTTCATATTGGGCCTGACACTTTTTCTATAATCGAATTAGTCCGTTTTATTACAATCCTAAATTGGCGTAAATATATAAACTATCATAAACTAACGTTTTAAAGTATTAAATAGTGTTAAAAATGTGCCAATCACAATCTCTAAACTCATAAAATGTGAATAATTGGCAATAATAATTGTTTTAGTCTCTGTATACCAAAGGAAAACCAGGGTAGTATCTGATTTCCACGAGTCGCCCTGATAGCCCCATGTTGTCTAGGGCCACAAAAATTTGCAGAGGGGTTGAGGAACACCTAAATAAGATCCCAATAAAAAAAATAACTAAAAAAGCTTAACCCATTCGAAAGCTATAACGAATTTACTATGATTGTTTTAGATAGATTATCATTTAAGCATGGATTTAAATATATTTTATTTTAATGTATATATAATTTTGAGTTCCTATATTAAAAAAGATCGCATAGACTTATTTAAAACAAAAAACCTACGATAGTCCAATTTTTTAGTGAGTTTCTATCTTTGTGTACGAATTGTACCACGGTTATTGATCTACGTATACTTTTTTGGTTATTGACCGTAGGGTTAAAGAAGAAGAAAATAAATTAAAAAAGGTTGTTGTTGTTTTTTTGGAAATAAAGAAAAGTCCTTCTTTTTCAACGGCGGGCATGATTGCCGATCACTGAGACATCTGAGTCTCAAAATTCCAACGCATTTAGAAAGTCTACATATCTGGTTATGGTATGGAAAATTTTCGAACAAACACAAAGATAAACAAATGTCCACCAAAAACCAAGCTCGAAAATAGAGAAGATCTTCAACGATTCGATTTATCCCAGTTTATACGGTAGCTGTGTAGATCCAGAATATCGTGTTAAATTTGAAACCGATTGGATTAAAAGTTTTATCGTCCCCTCCAATCGTAAAATAACTGTTTGTGTGAGTGTGAGAAACACTCTTGATGCAATAAATCGGGTATATCTTCAAGAATTGTTGAGATTTTCAATTGAAATTTTAAAGGAGCATTCTTGAGAAGTTATAGGTTCATATAAAATAAAAAAATGGATTTTGTTTACACGCGATTTTGTTTATGTTAATAACGACCATCAATTGCCGAAGATATTCTGCGCTCTGAAAACTAAATAATGAAATGACTCAAATGGGACGGCATTCATTGTTACCAAAGCTTGAAAATTTCGGAAGGATTTAGGTTCGAAACCTCTCCCAATACAGCTAGAGCAAGAAATGAAGCCGAACGACCTACCCCATTGCAGAATTTTTGGGGATTAGGGCTAATGGAATGCTGCCGCAGATATATTTTTAATAGTATGCCAAAATTTACCAAACGAATGATCATTTAGCTACAGTCGCGGTCAACATTTGAATCAAATAATCTTCAATCATGAAATTATATTTGTGTTACTATCGTCTCAAATAAAGATTGCATACTTTTTTTCTGAATTGTAATGATTTTTTTCCTATAGCTTTTAAAAAAATCTCCATGTCCATGATTTGAAATATCCTACATATTTTTAATGTTTTCTTTGTTCTTTGTGTGCGAATTGTGGAGGTTATAAAAGTCGAGAGCTATTTGATCATTAGGGCGCAAAGCATTGGGTTAAGATGTCTATTTTCTTCCTCCAGGACTGCTGAATCGTGCTATTTTTAGGAAGTTGCCGAATCATATTTAAAATTTAATACCGTTACATACTCCGAAAATAATTACATTTGGAAAATTATCGAAAAGTTCTAAGTCTATATAAGGATTCCTTGGTCGTCATCATAAAGTGAAATGTATATACAATTTGTCATTAAAAATATTCACCAGAGTATACATACCATGATCTAAGTATAAGTATATGTCGATTTCATCCTGTCCGTGTCCCTGCCATTTGAAATCACGAAAGAGCTCACAATATTTATCATACAGTATTGGACAAAACATTTGCACTTTATTTGAAAGTTGAAAAATAGGTGAACTTGGTATTTCAGGTGTTATATATTTCGGAATTATTCCATTTTTTTAATTCTTGGCGTTTTAATTTTAAACAGATAACTGTATGATTCTAAAGTCATACCACCTCTAATGAAGTCATTGATTCCCGATTATTCTAAATATCATAATTGTATCACCTATTTGGTTCTTTGTATTTTAACGATTTTCCATATATCATTCTGTATGCCTAAATCCGATATATTTTTTAATGGAAAATGCATGATATTTTAACGCCTTTAATATCTTTACGAAAATTGACAGGTCGCGCTTCAAATCAAACGATTATTTTTACAGCCACTATTTTAAGTAGATCTATTTTTAATGTACTACCTATGCATAGCGAATTCGAATTTTTTTACGGATAATAGAAACATTTCTCAGGTTTGTATAACAATTTCTTACTACACCTTGGATACGTTTGAAATGCATTTCACACTAGGCATTCGCAGTATTAGGCGTTACGCCAACCTCTGGCAAAATTCAAAAATGCCTTAATAAAAGTTCACTTCATGTGGTCTGAAGGCCAGCCACAGTCCAGACTACAGTTAGTACTCGTGAAACTAGTTTTTACTATAGACAATAATATGAGAATATATTAATAGTAAATTCCGGCTTTTGTAGTCTATACAAATTTATTCATTGACAAACGCCACTTTTGGCTTGAAAATTATTGAAATACACGTTTATATATCCTTATAATATTTAAAAGTACAAGTTGGTTTAAAAATAGTCTTTAAAACACACACATATAGAGCCGATAGTACTTATAACCATTTTATATCGCTGATAGTCCTTAAACTATTTTTTTTAAATCCACGTTTTAGCTCTGATAGTCCCTGAAGTCCTTTAAAATAGTTTTCTTTAAACGTCCACGCGTTTAACTCTGATAGACCTTGAAAAATTATTCTTTGAAAATCCACGCCTATAGCTCTGATAGTCCTTGAAAAATTATTTTTTTGAAGATCCAATCTTATAGCTCAGACGGTGCCTAAAATATATATATATTTTTTTTAAATCCAACTATTAAAGTCGTTGAAAATTATTTGTATATATTTTAAAAATCCTTGCATATTTTCCCGATAGTTCTTTGAAAAAAATCTTCGCTTGAAACATATCGTTTAAATCAACACTAATAATTGTAGAATATATCAATTACCTTTTAACGTATTGTTTTGGGAGGCTTATCTGTTTTCGCCTGAAAACATAAAAAACACAACCCAAGAAATTTTTAAAAACTCCAACAAAGGCCAGAAACGACATGTGTTATAAAAATGTCAGACAAGTCATTGGTCGGTCGGTCGTTCGTTTTATGAGGTACAATGAATCAAAACAAGTCCATCCCAAAGAACCACGAGGCATGATGTGGTTGGTGGTGGTATCCAACCTACGTCATTTAGCCACCGACCGACATCATTTCGGCATTACCCACTGTGAACTGTTAAAGAATGTTGTTCAAATCAATTCTAAGTCATGGTCAAATTGAAGATAGAGAACAAAACGGAGTACTGCCAACATCGAACGAGCGGGCGAGCTGTTTGCCTACAACGATTTGGTGTTACTTTGAAATTCAAGTTATTTACCATGACTGGCATTTATGACAGTTCAAGAGTACAGGTTGTATGTATACATATTCATATGAAGAAACATTTTTTTCATTATAGCAGAACAGCGGATAAGAAATAAGTCGTAATCGCAAAGAGGCCCTAAGATAATCTAAATTTTGGAAGTGATTTATTTAACAAAAAGAAAAAATCAAAGTCAGTTAGAGGGGGAATGTGGTGCCCTACACTATGTTAGGTATGTGGAAGATGTGCTTTGAATGCACATTTAAGTGGTCTTAGAAATGCATTCATATCTCAAAATTTAGGTTGGAATATAGTGAACGCCGCTTGACTTCGTTCATTCCACTTTTTAAGGGTAAGAATGCTAATATTTGAAAACAAACTGGTATAATAATCCTTCAGATCTTCTTCGAAGAAAAGAAAGGGTTGGCCTAAAATTATGTAGGGGAAAAAGAAATCCATTATTTTTTCGTCGATATTTTCAATAAAAACTGGGAAATTATCGAAGTTGACCGGCATGTTAACAGGCGTAACATCGCCCAGAAGCTAAAAATCGACCATAAAACCTTTTACACAAACCTAGATTCAATTAACAGAAAAAAAATAGGATGGATCGAATTTCCATCTGCGAAGCCTTGACCAAACGGAATGAGATATACCCATTTCTTAAAAGGATGGTGACTAGAGGTGAGAAATGGATCACATACGATAACCCTGTGCGAAAACGATCGTCAAAGAGCGGTGAAGCACCTCAAACGGTGGCCAAACCAGGACCAAGCGGTGAAGCACCTCAAACGGTGGCCAAACCAGGACCAATGGCCAAAAAGGTTCTGCTATGCAGCTGGTGGGACTCGAAGGGGATTATTTATTATGAGTTCCTGACCAGAAACGGCCAGAATTGGCCAACAGGAGAGGTGTTGTGTTCCACCAGGACAATGCAAGGCCACACACATCTACAGTGTCTCTCCGCCGTATAGTCCGGGCCTGGTACCAAGAGATTATAATATTTTTCTTGCATTGTAAAATTTCTTCAAGGGAGCCCCCCCTCCCTTCTCGGGGCCAAAAAAGTTTTTTAGTTTTTTCGAATCTACACTAATTCAAGAATGTCCCTACAAAATTTCAAGTAAAAATCTCAAGAACTCTTGAAGATATAGCCGATTTATTGTGTCAGCATCAAGTGACGGCTGAAGGGCTTCTCAAACTTTAAACGCGTTTTTCTCTTTTGTGAATGGCGGGCACGATAACTCAAAAACTAATTACCCAATCGATTCCAAATTTTTACCCGTTTCTCTGTGAGTGTATAGCTATCGTATTAACTAGGAAAAAGCCAATCGGTGAAGATCGTCCTTATTATACCCTTCACCACACTGTGGTACAGGGTATTATGTCTTAGTGCATATGTTTGTAACAGGCAAAAGGAATCGAGATAGACACATGGTTCCTTTTGAGAATATGCATAGAATCACTTTCTGAGTCGATTTATGCATGTCCGTCCGTCCGTCTGTCCGTCCGTCCGTCTGTTGATGTTAAATTGTAAACAAAGTACAGGTCGCATTTATAATCCGATTTGGCTGAAATTTGGCACAGCTCATTTATTTGGCTCAAGAACCCTATTGAAATTGGGAAAAATCGGTTCAGATTTAGATATAGCTCCCATATATATTTTTGTCCGATTTACGTACTTTAGTCCCTCAAAATCATTCGAATTGCACGAATTTCGGTACAGCGTACTGAATTAGGTCCAGAATGATGTGTGCCAAGTTTCGAGAAAATCGGTTCAGATTTAAATATAGCTCCCATATATAGTTTCGTCCGATTTAAGGTAAATGGGGCACCAAAGTCCCTCTATATCTTTCGATTTGCATGAAATTTGGCACAGAGTACTGAATTAGGTCCAGAATGATGTGTGCCAAGTTTTGATTTAAGGAAAATCGGTTCAGATTTAGATATAGCTCCCATATATAGTTTCCTCCGATTTAAGGAAAATGGTGCACCAAAGTCCCTATATATCTTTCGATTTGCATGAAATTTGGCACAGAGTACTAAATGAGGTCCAGAATGATGTGTGCCAAGTTTCGAGAAAATCGGTTCAGATTTAGATATAGCTCCCATATATAGTTTCGTCCGATGTAAGGTAAATGGGGCACCAAAGTCCCTCTATATCTTTCGATTTGCATGAAATTTACACAGAGTACTGAATTAGGTCCAGAATGATGTGTGCCAAGTTTCGAGAAAATCGGTTCAGATTTAGATATAGCTCCCATATATAGTTTCCTCCGATTTAAGGTAAATGGTGCACCAAAGTCCCTATATATCTTTCGATTTGCATGAAATTTGGCACAGAGTACTGAATGAGGTCCAAAATGATGTGTGCCAAGTTTCGAGAAAATCGGTTCAGATTTAGATATAGCTCCCATATATAGTTTCGTCCGATTTAAGGTAAATGGGACACCAAATTCCCTCTATATCTTTCGATTTGCATGAAATTTGGCACAGAGTACTGAATTAGGTCCAGAATGATGTGTGCCAAGTTTCGAGAAAATCGGTTCAGATTTAGATATAGCTCCCATATATAGTTTAGTTTGCCTGAAATTTGGCGCCGAGTACTGAATTAGGTCCAGAATGATGTGTGCCAAGTTTTGTCTGATTTTATGTAAATGGTGCACCAAAGTTCCTATATACCTTTGGATTTGCATGAAATTTGGCACAGTGTACTGAATTAAGTCTAGAATGATGTGTGCTAAGAAAATCGGTTCAGATTTAGATATAGTTCCCATATATAATTTCGTCCGATTTAATGTAAATGGTTTACCAAAGTCTCTATTTATCTTTGGAGTTGCACGAAATTTGGCATTGCGTAATAAATTAATGAATGTATGTTAAGTTTCATGAAAATCGGTCCAGATTTAGATATAGCTCCCATATATATTTTCGTCTGATTTAATGTAAATGGTGTCGTCCGATTTTACAAAAATTGACACAAACCTTTCACAACGTACTGTAGTGAGAATAACCTAGAAGTTGGTTTTAAATGCTTTACCATTGTGAGTCCAATAGGCACACCAATTTGCTCTACGTGCGAAGTTACTATAACATAACGTGTGGCAAGTTTAGTTCAAATCGGATTAAATTTTGACATATATATATATATATATATATATATGTTAAGTTTATAAGCGTATATATATATACGCTTATAATTGACTTTCATAATTTTGTCCCTGGTCCTTTAAAAATTCGACGTCTTTTAGGTTTCATCTGTTGGATATACCGAAAGTGGTGAAGGGTATCATATAGTCGGCCCCGTCCGACTTTACTGCTTTCCTTACTGGTTTTTTAACTTGGTTTTTGGTCAAAAATCGGCGATTTTCCAAAAATATTTTTTCAACGGTCCGCCATTTTGTTAATTTTAGAGCGAAGTTAATAATCCTAGTTCATACGAGAGCCCGACATGTACTATTTCTAATACCGTTGGAATTTTCGGATTCCGATGTTCCAGTGAGGAGTTATCATGCCCGCCATAAAAAATAAGGATTTTTCTTTGATCACAAAAAACAACAACAAACACTTTTTGTAAATTATTTTTCTTCCTTTTTAAATCTTCAAATATATATGTGCAAAGTTACAAACCTTAACAAGCATTGGTATGCATTTACCAGCCCATTTAAAATCTTAAAAATAAAAAATCGAGAATGGGGGGGTTCCTTAATTAAGTCATGTCTGGAGTTGAACCCAATCTGTTGATACAGTCCCCACATCTAAGATGGAATGGTTACTATGGGACCCATTAATATTTGTGAATGTCCTTGGAGTCTTCAGTAATCATCTACCAGTTTATCTCATCCATGAACATATTAGCAGCACTTCGAAGCAAATAAACGCCTATTTTTCGCTGTCAGTGAAGTCTGGTAATTTTTTAGTCAATGATTTTCGTCACCAGAAGATATGCAGATTTTGGAGGCGTCTCAATCGAAGTCGAAAAAATTCTTCGACGAATTGACTGTTTTGAAAATCAGTAAATTCTTGCATTTTCATCATAAGGCGGGACCACTTAAAAAAAATATTTTATTTCCTCAAAGTTTTTATTCTTTGTCATGCAGTAAATTACCATGACATTGCTCCCTATATAAATGTCCCCACCGACTTTTTTATTTTGAATACTCACCTTGTAGTGATATAAAAAGTTCGGTAAGCTACATTGTGGATCTAAAATTCATTTGAATTCGTTATGAAATGTAGAGTAAGAACTAGAATTTCATCTGCAATATATTAAGTCACATGGGTTATTGTAAGTATCCACCCCCCATCCCCCCTTTGATGATGACCATTCCTAACTGACATGTAGTGCAATAAATGTCAACTGCATTCAAAATTTATGATGTTCAGAATATTACCCCCAAATCAGTTACGCCGCCACTCACAATGAAAACTACAGCAATATTCAGAAAACACATTTAAGAGCCATTAACAAAAAAAAGCTCACTGCTCACATCTGACAATAGCAATCCGATCTCGTAAATCATGATTGTTGCTACATATGCAATAACAAAATATAATACAGTTCTCTTTTTGTTTCTTTTCTCCCCTAGTTCTGGCCATAAAACTGCCACTTTAAACACGGCTAAAACTGAGCTAACGACTTCTTCAAATCATTCATCAACAACAACGGCCCCAGCAAGCAACACACAAACTTCCTCACCGCCACCTCCACCGACATCAGCATTTGAACCACCACCACCAACAGCCTCAAACGGCACATCCACATCAAGCGCCACCACAACAGTCTCAACATGTACCACCTCCTTAAATGACAACATGCCGCCAGAGCAACAGCATCAAACCGAACCGCAACAGCAATCGCCGAGTCTTGTAACATTTACGATTTTAATTGCCATCGAAAAGTCGCAACACCTGTGCGTAATCGATTTAATTAGCCAAAGTTTAAGACTCCTTACACGACACATTGCTCACAGCCATATATTGGCGGTTTGTCTCGATACGGGTCTAATCCAGTCGCCGAAAATCGTAAATAGCAACGAAGTTGCAACAACAAATGATGACGTAAAGACGTCTGACATTAAGAGTGACAAAACATCGGCGACAACAACGGCAGCAACTGCAACAACAACAACAATCGATACAAATGGCAATTGGCGTTGTCAGAAGGTAAGTTACTGTTGTATAATTTTTTTAGGGAATTGTATACATCTTGTTTAAGGATACATTCACAGGAGGTGCGCTGTACCCCCCATCCTGGAGTATGAAGTGAAAATATATTATTGGTCAGAGTAAAACTCTTTCGAATTGGACACTTCCTTGTAACTGTTAAAATCGCAGTAGATCTCATAATATTTAAGAATGCACTTACAATATTGAATAGGATATACCGATCCACGTTTTGGAATATGCATATCGCTCACATATGGCAATACCATTTTTCCGTATTTTAAGGCTTGTAGCCGCATTTTCCAAACTAAAATACTTTAAGTTGTCTTTTCGGGGATTTGGAGGCTGCTCTACATCCGCGCAGAAAATTATGATCATTGGTCCATATTCCCATATAAAGGTCTCTCCCAATTTTCGGTATTTTGAGCGTTGTAGCCGCATTTTCCAACCGAAAATGCTTAAATTTTGCGTTTCGGTGTTTTGGAGGCTGGCACACATCAGCGTAGTAAGTGATCATTGTCACCATGGTGAAGACTATAAAAAGTTCGATCGGGGCGTACATAACTGATTTTTACTTCATTTGTGGAGGGTGTAAACCATCTTCCGCTCGGTTTTAGTTATTTTGATAGATAGGAGTTCATTTTGCATTCCAAGATTTTTTCGTAAACGATTTATTCAAAGGCAATATACAATATAGGATAAAGTTTTGACATAGAGCTCCTAAAAAGGTCCTAACACATTTTAGCCATTTTTATGATTCTAGGCGCATTTTCCAATCGATGTGGCTGTAAGTTAGCAGTTCGGGTTTTTGGCAGAAAATTTACCATGTAGTTCCACGTTCAGATAAGGCATCCATACCAAATTTTCCAACATATGTGTATGTGATTTGGTGCCTTTTTCTAGATATAATCGCCTCAGAATCCCGCGATATGTGACTGTGACAGAATCACCATTTGTGTAGTAGGTTTGAATCATTTATCCCCCTTTTTGGGGGAGTTACTCGAAGGAGTAAACCGATATGACCTATCTTCAAACTATAAAGACTTGGTCAAACTATTAGGTAGTGTAATGTTCGGTTCAAATCGGATTCTCCGTTCGTATGATGTTATAAAATTAGTATTCTGCACCGATATTTCCCATCTTCGAAATATTTGATTTGTGTTCGTAACAAATATTACTATGTACAGAGTTCTGATGAAATCGGTCGAGAGCTTGAATACGTAGTCGAGAGCAAAAGTCGAATTTTAGACTTTTCAATTTTTGCCTCTGACCAAACAATCGATTTTAAGATTTTCCGATTTTTGACTAAAAAGTCGACTTTTCGATTTTTTGATTTTGTCAAACCTGTTTAAAATGTGTTTAAAATCGATTTTCGAATTCTACAGACTAATGCAAAATTTACTATATGAATTATTGGCAACTGGTAAAATAAAGTTCCGGAATGTGTAATTTTTTTGGAATTTTGGGTTTTGTGATAATTAAACAAGTATTTATGAAGAAAATTGTAATTCGATCTTGAAAAGTCGACTTTGCGATTTCCTCAAAGATCAAAGGTTGATTTCGACTTTATGACTTTTCAAAACAAAAAGACTTAAACAAAAGATTTATCGAATATTCGAAATTCGATTTACATATTCCTAGCATCCGCCATCCAGACAAACGGACGGACAATTCTAAATCGACTTCAAATTTTTTGCCTCTGATTATTACGTTTCTATGACATTTTTACCGTAGCAAAATGTATATACCCTCATGGCTATAAGGCTGGGGGTATACTTATTTTTAAAGGCGTTTAATGTGATTTATATTGAGATTTTCAAATACTTTTTATACCCTTCACCACACTGCGGTACAGGGTATTATGTCTTTGTGCATATGTTTGTAACAGGCAAAAATAATCGAGATAGACCCATGGTTCCTTTTGAGAATATGCATAGAATCACTTTCTGAGTCGATTTATGCATGTCCGTCCGAAATTTGGCATAACGTACTGAATTGAGCCTAGAATGATATCTGCCAAGTATCGTGAAAATCGGTGCAAATGGTGCACCAAAGTCGCTATATATCTTTCGATTTGCACGAAATTTGGCATAACGTACTGAATTGAGCCTAGAGTTATGTCTGCCTTGATTCGTGAAAATCGGTCCAGATTTAGATATAGCTCCCTTTTATTATAGATTGATTTTAAGTAATTGATGCACCAAGGAACCAATAAGCTGATAGGAACAAAACGTTCTGAAATTAGTATAACCTAACCTGTGACAAGTTTGTTTGAAATCGCTTAATATTTGGATAGAGCTTTCATATATATTTTCGCCCTATTTCAAGTAAATTGGGCATCAAACTCCTCATGTTAGTCAGATTGACATCAAATTTTGCACAACTTACAAAATTGAGCATATAATTACGTAGTTGCGTTTTGTAGAAGTACAGACATAGCCCAACGGATGACCTATTTATATTTGTTTCAAGTCGATTTACATACTTTATGGATAGATCTAGGTAGATTCACATTTAGATAAATATCACATATTTTATTTCATCCAATTTCATGTTAATAGTACTGTTTAATATACCCATAGTGGTGAAGGGTATCATATAGTCGGACCCGTCCGACTTTACTACTTTCCTTACTGGTTTACTTCAGTGTTTTTATTCCCCATTACCACACTGTGGTACAGGGTATTATGTCTTTGTGCATATGTTTGTAACAGGCAAAAGGAAACGAGATGGACCCATGGTTCCTTTTGAGAATATGCATAAAATCATTTTCTGAGCCGATTTATGCATGTCCGTCTGTCCGTCCGTCTGTCTGTCCATGTTAAATTGTAAACAAAGTGCAGGTCGCATTCATTATCCGAATAATATGAAATTTGGCACAAATCATTTATTTGGCCCAGGGACGAACCCTATTGAAATTGGGAAAAATCGGTTCAGATTTAGATATAGCTCCCACATATATTTTCGTCCGATTTTTCGCAAATGGTGCGCCAAAGGGTCAAATTTAGGCCTAATGCCACGAAATTTTGCACAACGTACCGAAGTTAGGATAGACTAACGTGTACCAACTTTTATTGAAATCGGTTCAGATTTAGATATAGCCCCCATATATATGTTCGTCAGATTTTTCGCAAATGGTGCACCAAGAAGTCAAATTTAGGCCTAATGCCACGAAATTTTACACAACGTACCGAAGTTAAGATAGATTAACGTGTACCAACTTTTATTGAAATCGGTTCAGCCCCCATATATATGTCCGTCCGATTTTTCGCGAATAGTGCACAACATTAGGCGCAACGTATCGAAATGGATATGGGTTAACCATCATATGGGGCTACTCGAAAAAGTAGACCGATATTAATAATTTTTAGTGGAGACATTTGATACGTGGACCAATAAAGCTGATCGAGAAAATATATACTTTATACAAATACACCCGGTTATTGATCGTTGGGTTATGTATGTTCGTCCGATTTTTCGCAAATGGTGCACCAAGGAGTCAAATTTAGGCCTAATGCCACGAAATTTGCACAAATTTTTCGGTTCAGATTTAGATATAGCCCTCATATATATGTTCGTCCGATTTTTCGCACATGGTGCACCAAAGATTTAAAGTGTGTCCGATTGACACAACATTACGCTCAACGTATCGAAATGGGGCTGGGTTAACCATTATATGGGGGCTACCCGAAAAAGTAGACCGATATTAATAATTTTTAGTGGATACATTTGGTACCTGGACCGATAAAGCTCATCTTCGGACCTGCAGGCATGGGACAATGCAAAATTTTGTCGATCTATCTCAATTGGTTTAGACACAGAAAGATGGACCTACATAAATCGCCATAGAATTTTACGCTGACCAAGAATATATATATTTTATACAAATATACCCGCTTATTGGTCGTTGGGTTATGTCGTAAAGGGTATCATATAGTCGGCCCCGTCCGACTTTACTACCTTCCTTACTGGTTAGCAATTACCTTTATTTTCCTATAGAACTATATCGCGCTTGCATAATTTAGACAATTTAGTATTCCATAAACGAATTGTTAATTCACTATTTAATTGGAAATAATGTACATTTTTGTATCGCATCTTTGTGTTCTGTATTTGGTTGCAGCTACTGCTGTTATTGGCGGCAGGTAGCCTGCAGTGCAGTGGCCAGAAGAGTTCATTAAAGTTAATGGTGTTAGGAAAAAAGCTTTTTTTGTCCATGCATACATCCAAAGTAAGACATTTGACTGAAATGGTCTTTAAATGGAAGTCAAATGTAGAAATGTGATATGACATCGTGTAATGACGATATTTGTGAGGAAGTTATGTCTTAATTTATATAAAGTTTTGAATTAAATGAACAACTTTTCTGTGTTAAATGCCCAAAGTTCAGATTTTTTCTGTATGAAGGTATATTGCCAGGTAAGTTGAGAATATAACGACATATCGCTCATTTGCTGCAAGACCGGCATAAATCAAAAATCGTGATTTTTGAGTTAATGCTGCAGAATTTTTCGCTATATCAGACTTCATGTTGTGTAAAAAAATTCAGAAAAATATCTCTTTCACACTCTGATTGTGAAGTTGTTGAAGTTCCTCTGTCTCTTTTAAAGTATGAGTCGATTGAAAACTTAAAACGCATTTTCTGTAATATTGCAGTAAATCATTTTACGTAGATTTTATATTATATAGGTATGTGGGTAAATAATACCCCACCTTATCTAAGCATGTTCACATTCTGATCAAAGTTCAACAGAAATGTTTGAAAAGGTCGCTTAACTATTTCATTACAACATCAATCAGTTTACAATTATCTGTTCTATGTTCTGTTTTAATAGAAATTCTTGTGGAATTTTTCCACGATGTTGATTCGAATATTTCAACGTTCGTGCACCAGCCACCCATCCAGTCAACCAACCGACCGAAACCAAAACCAATCCAATAACAATCAATAACTAAACATTTAAGAAAACTTTGATCGGCAAATGACATTAGTGTCACTC